GAAGAGCGTTTTTCATGCCAAGATACTACACAGTTGGCCTTTTTAAATAGCTTTGCATGAAGCTGGCCTAATAAAGAATACACAACTTGGCCAAAATAGTCAGCTATTTAGCTGTAGGTCTAGCTTTATGGTCAGCTAGACCTACAGAACAGTGGGTTGCAGGCACTCTTGTCCGCCATCTTTCAGAGCAGCTCTGCAAAGAAAGAAATAAAAAAGGTCAAGGTAGGTGGTTCCCTCCCACTCTCCTAACATTTTGATTGGCAATAAAATAAACAGAGGAGCTGGTATAAACTTTCGTTTAAGTTGTTTTGTATTTTCTAACTAGTAGTCCTGTGAGTACTGGGGGAAAAATGGTTTCATGTGAGTCTGTGTCCTATAGTTTGATTACAAACTACAAATCTAAGATTTTATGATGCAGCCTTTTCTGATGAGTCTAGTGGAATTTTTATACAGTTTCTCTCCTCTATCTGGTCATAGTTGAAAAACTCTTTCAGGAACTTTATTATCTTGGAGACATCTTTTATTTTTGTCAAACCTGGCTGAAATTACTGATTACTGGTGAGACAGAAGTGGACAACATGCACGATTCTGCACAGAGGGTTTGATCACACAAGTATTGTTTGCTTATGAAACCATGATGAAAACAAACAAACAAAAAGCCCTGAAAGCCCCTTTCCTCCATTTATGTATGAGCATTCATTCAAGCAATTTGAATATTTCCTGCTATGATTTTATATGTATGCAAACTTACAATGTTTTTTACTTTGTACCCACATGGATTTTACAATTTCAGTTTAAGTCCCGCCCCAACACATTTTCTCTGAAGAAAATGCTCAGTATGGAATTTTGACATAAGAAATAACTTGCAGCATTTCAAAACTTCGTCACACGTGTAGACGAAGTTAATGGAAATTGTTTGAATTCATGTTAATGGGGTCAGCATTGTATCTTTGATTCTTTATTGTACAAATTCTGTATTCCCTAGATGTGTGTAGAGGGAGCTAATTCTGTCCTCTGGCATTGATCGTAATTAAGATATTAGCATAGAGAGACTTTTAAAATTGTGTCTGGAGGTGGCTTGTTACATTGTGAGGAAGCTAGCTAGTTCCTTCGGATAAAAGGCTAATCTTATACTTAGCATCTATTGAGGCATCACAGGGAATATGTAATTCCATCCAAACTACGTAAGTGACAGAGGTATGAAATACAAAGTCATTTTCTTCTAGTGAAAGAAAAGTGGTATTTTGCAAAAGTCCTCACATAATTTCCACATTATTGCAGTGAGGTCTACTTCAATTTAGTTTAACATTCTGAGTGGCCTTGGGAGGGATGAACTTGGAATGAGTTTTTATGCGCAGGCGCTGGAAGTCATTTTCCCTTCTCTTTGCCAGGGCCTTACCTGTGAAAGAAAAATGCAATTATGGCTGGTTAAATGGATCATATTAGTATTTGCACCTATGAAACAAAGAACATTACTTTCTGTCAATCTTATTTTTATCAATCATAGGCAGTAGGATTTTCTGAAGACTTTTAGATTAAAAAAATTACCTGAATCTCCACAACAACAGAATTTTAATTTTCAGAGCTGCTAGCACGCAGATGCATTTATAATTAAATTTACATCTCTTGTTTAAGTGAAAATGCATACATGTTTTCATAGTACACTTGTGCCTGGCCAGATTCTGCACCTAAATAAAGCCACTTTAATATCTTGATTAACATCATCAGCTATGTCCACATATTGTTTACTAGTTTCTGCCATGATCATCTGTTATATCATTTATTCTATCCTCCAAACTACCTAGTTCTTGCTTTTAGGAAGCATTGTCATTGGCCTACCTACCAAGAATAAAAGCACAAATAGGAAAAAGTTGTTGTTTAGAAAGGAAGAGATATATGGACACATTTAGGAAAAAAGTTTTGTCTTCAGCCAAAAATTTCTTAAAATCTAGGCCTAGGCATACATTAAATATTACTTTCCTGACAGAAGTGGATTTTTCCCCCAGAAATTACCGCAGCATCCCAACACATGCTAATACAAACACTACTTTTTACTTATGAATGAAAAAGTTTATTGAAAATTCAGATCACTTGCAAAAAATAGACATTAACATAGCGTAAGTCCACTTGAATTTGTTGCTATATATATATTCATTAGTCATGTGAGCTTTAATAAATTTTCTTACCTTTTGACACAGCCATTAAAACCAGAGAAAGAGCAAAGGTAACTGCAACAAATTTGCTGTACATTATTGTGCATAAATTTTCTTCTTGACTCTTCTACTTTGGTTTTGTTTCACATCTGGCTTTATATCAGAAGGGTGTACTCCTCCCAGCCTAAATACTAAACAAGTACACTCCAACACATTATGTGGATTCTGCACAAGGAAGTTTCCCGATATGTGAGACTATTGCATAATGAATCAAAATCTCTGTATAGTCCATTCAGTAGCACTTTGGAATTCCGTAAGTTACCTTGGCTGCTGTATTTTCTGAAATATTTCTTTATATTCTTTTTTATTATTATTCATGACGTTCTGTTTGAACCTCTTTGTGGGATATGTTAGTTTTAACCAGTAATGCTAACCTTGTACTTTGACTTCAGTACAGCATTACTAGATCCCCCCACAAAACCCCAAATAGAGGCTTATTTGCTCTCTGAATTGCACAGAAACTCCTGTTGAATTCTTTGGATTGCATTTAAATGCTCTGAGCAAAAACTTTCACCTAATAGAAATTAATGAAACATTTCCTCGCAGTATTGTGGACTATGTTTTGATATGACTCTGATAAAGTGGTTTATCTGGTGTCTTGTGAAGATAAACCTTCATTAGTTCTTTTTATTCTGTGAAAGGATTTTGGCTGTAATTTTCAATTCGGCCAAAGGGGTTTAGAAACTTCATTCCATACTGCTTTGAAAGGCTTCTGTATTTATTGAACAGAAAAAGATAAACTTTAAATGAGTTAGGGACTGTCTCCTAAGTGGCTTAGACCCTTTTGAAAATTTCATTTGTTCTGACTGTGAAGAGAAGCAAATATATCTGACAATAAGAACTCTAATACCACCTGATTCAAATAAGCACTTAAGAAGTTGTCTATTTTTCTTTCTAACCACATTCAGCTAGAACCACATTCAGATAGAAGTGAAATCTCTCTTGAGTATTTCCTGTAAGGAATCCATTTATAGAAGGTGTATTGTTTTTCTATTGGGACACTGAGAAACTCATATCTTTTCTGAGGTGTAAAAAAGGTGGTATCAGGGAAAGATACACTGGATCAAATTCTCATTTGTTAAAAGATGTTGTCCACTGAAAGTAATTTTAGTAATTTTGTAAAATTACTAAGAGAGGAATTTGTTTTTGAAAAGAAGGAGCCTACTATATTGGAGCCTTGATGTTGTATATAGGGGAAATTGTAGTTTATTCTGGATAGGTAGTTTCTAGCTTTTGCTAACTGGGGACCAGGACACGAATGCTTAGGAAATGTTAATTCACTAGGATTGGAATGGTTTTTGACTAAGTGGAACTAGTTTTTCTGACTCTAAAACACCTGATATGTGTGTAAGCTTAAGTAAACAAAGATGAAATATTACTATAACATAAATACAAATTCAAGTCTGTTAACTCAATAGCCAGTATGGTACCCTGAATTCATTGTGAGCTCATATATAACACATATAGTTAAATAATGAAAATGTAAATTAGTTTGAAGATAGAAAGGAAGTTAAGGAATGGCTTTTTAGAGTTCTCCAATGTGATAGAAGATGACTATTCCTTTTGTTTCTGATTTTAGTAACAAAAACTTAAAGAAGATTGTTTTTTCATGTCATTTCAGTTCCTTATTTTAACTTTGAGTGTAATTGGTCAGAGATACCATCCTAACTAATCTAACAAACTAACATTTGAAGAAATAGCCATGAATAGAACTTCAATAAGCAATTACTATGAAGAAAAAATTGGGTTCTATAGCCCATAATGGAGGTCTTATTTATCTCTCAGTCCTGTTGTGATATGACTAAAGCAGAGGGAGGAATTGTTCACCATGCCTCAATTTTGTCTCGTGAAAAGCTCCAATGAGAACACTATCAAAGAATGCTGATGACAGGAATCAGGAGTCCCCATGCTTTAGACACTGCAGTCTTATTTTAATGGATCCAGGATTTTACTTCTGAAAAGAAAATAAAAAGCAGCTCAAAGACCCAGGATGATACCAGCTCCTAACTTTTAATTTTTTCCCTAATCCTTGTAGCTCAGACATCTTCACAAATTTGGCAATCAGCTAGTCTGTAACAGGGATCCAAGTTCTGACTAAACAGAAATTGCCAGGACAGCAAGAGCAGTAACCTCCACGCAGTACCGGAAAAGCCACCTACGGGCTTAAGTCAATAGTCTGATTAATATGTACACAGAATAGTGGCTGATATCAGTACTAAAACAGCTAATGTGAACCTAGCGCAGATATGTCAATATGAGCTGCTTTGATTGTACACCACAGCCTGCTCTATTTATAAAGTGGGCTTCTAAAAAAGCCCCGACTATTTATAAAAATCACAAGAGAATTATTTTGGCTAGATAGCACAAGAAAATGATCTTCTGGGCTAGTAAACTATACCCTACTGGGTGTAGTTTGGTGTGAGTATGTAAAGCTGTTTGGTTTCCAAAGTCCCGTATGACAACTTGAAAGCATAGGCCAGTTGACTGACTTTGATTTTGATGACCCTGCAAGAGCACGCAAGAGAGTGAGCAAGAGGCTATTTCCAGGCCAGGCCTGATGAATGGTTTCCTAGGAACTTTGCTGGCTTGAAGGAACATCAGTCAGTTGCTGTGTCACTTTTAGTTTCTTAACAAGACTACTGTCAGCAGATTAAAACAACTTGAGGAATGTGCTATATCTGTCTTGACAATGTGACCTTTTCTTTACCTCATTTGGTGATTGTTTCATATCCCTTCAGGTAGTAGTGGTCAATTACAGAAATAATGATCAGCAAGAGAAAGGCATTCTTAATGGAATTATTCTTCAATAGTTAATTAAGCACAGTTATACTCAGAGCTGTCAAAGATGTAAACGTGTCGAAAGCTTGTTTGTACTGTTTGCCCAGAGCTTTGAGCAATAAGTGTTGCAGAGTTGCCAAGGCAGGAAGAGAGAGAATGTCTTTGCTGTTGGAAGATAATTTTTCGTACCGTTAGGAAGCAAACCTTCAGAGTTCATTGCCCTTCAGATCTCTTTCTTTAGCCCTTTCATCTAATTTCCCATGACATTTTCATTCACCACTCTCTATCTTTGTGACAACATGACTTTCTGAATTGATTCTCCAGATTTTTGCTATGTATGATCAGTGCTATGCTTTCTTTGCAGTACAGGAATTAATGCTAGAACAGGATACTGGTAGTCTTATTACACAGACTTCTTTTGAGATGAAGGTAAAAGTTTTATGTTTAACAAATAAGTTGCTATTTCCAGGGGATGTGAGGGAAGGATATATGAACTATACACGTATACTTGTAGATATCTCTTCTAAGACCTAAGTTCTCACAGAGGTGATGCCACTGATCTGCCATTCCCAGAAATCTACAATAGCTGGAGGAGGGGAATGGTTCAAATAGTGAGTTTCGACTCAAAAATATCTCACCTGATATAATGGCAGGTGATTTCAAACACTGAGATGGTACTATACTGTAAAATCATCCTAATGCATAGTCATTTTTACCCTGATAAGGCACTGACAAGGTGTCTATATACCATCTGTACCTTTTGAAGACCTGAACATTTAGATGCTTAGCAGAAGCCCAGCATAGGATTTGGATGGACATAGGCTGCAGCAATAAGCAGAGGAAAAAAGTAAGCTGAATTTAGTGAGAAGGAAGGTGGCTGGACAGAAATACTGTGCGTGAACTAGGTTTGGTCATCGAGTACGGATACTGTTCTATTTCCCTTAACCACATACTGGCTTGAATTTGGCTGCTCATGTTTCATGTTTATTTCTTATACATTGCTTAGAGGAAGGCGGTAGTTAAAGCCAACTGGTTGACTTCCAAGTGTCTCAACTTAAGTATTTAATTATTTCTAGCTAACCTCTGAATCATTTCACTCTGGTGAGCGAAAACCTATGGAGAAAAGAAGAGAAACGATTCAGCTGCTGTGCAGGCAGATGTCCTGACTGGGATCCTGGAAGCACAGCCATTGCGGACGTTTTGGACAGAAGCATTTATGACAAGAGCCCTTGGCCCTGATTCAGCTCCCAGTAGCATGACTGGGATGCTACTAACGATAAAGGTTATGCACTTACTGTATGCGTCCATATAGCACTGAAATCGGTGCCAGTCCTGTAAGGTACATACATGCTCTTAGAGGTGTGCATATATAGTGGGTCTCTCTGTGGTTCTTCCGCACCTCTCCCCATTCTTGACTGCTATTTCTGGCATGCTTGCCTCTGAATTAGATTTCTGAATGAAGAGAGCTTGTAAAAATCAGTCAGAAACCAGCAAGTCCTTCTATTTTAAGGCACATCCAAGCCCCCTGAGAAATTTTGCCCTCTGTGCATTTTGAGGATGAGATCTAGCAATCTGCCTAATGCAATACTATGGGACAGGGCAGAGGTGAGGCTGGGGGGCAAAGTGTGGTATGAATAGTTGTCATATTGCACGAAAGATTGCTCAAGCAATAGAAGAAACTGAGTCTGAACTCTGTTCCTCAGTATTTCTCCTGATGTAGTCCTCCTTCCCCTCTGGAATTAGGGAGGATGCTGAGTAACTTTCTTAACATCTGTCAGGTATCCCTGATTACTTGAAGTTAATGAAAAAGATTATTTAGTGCCAAATTCTCATGCAATGTTCTTTCTGAGCATCACCACTGCTATAGCCTGGGACTTTCTATGACTAACTGTTATTTATTCATTACTTTGTGAATTTTATTGGCACTCAAGATTATTACCAGTGACAGTTCAAGAACGATTGCCCAGACCACTGACAACACTGAACCTGGCAGAAGAAGAGGAAGAAAGTCAATCACTTTCTTTTACGTTTCTTCCTATTGAGAATCATCTGTATTCATTGGAGGCAAGCAGTTGCTGTGATAATGAGCTGTCTCCACAACTCAGCTGCCACTTATAAGACCCATTCAAGAGATACAAAATGAGAAAAAACTTATTCTTTTTAATTCTTTATTTAAATAAGGAGATTAATAACATATGATATAGAAATCAAAACATTGCAACAAGCTTTTCTTAGGCACATGAGCACCAGTATTTTCTGTAAATAAATAAATAAATAAATAAATAAAACCAACTATATTCTTATGCAAAAGTATAATTTAAGTAATCAATATCAGAGAAACAATATTAAACATCTAATAGAATCCAAATAAATAAATAAATAAAGTTGTGCTATTTTAAACCAAAATATGGCATTAAAATATGTATTCATACCTTCCCAACGCTAGTTCAAAATATCTTGAAAATGATGGCACAAAAACTAGTGCCTCATGAATTTTGGCTTTCTAATTCTGAGAGCCACCATTTTCTGGTCAGTAGCCCACCCTCTGAGTAAGAGTGACCTAGGTACAATTGATGCTGTCTATCTGTGCATACTGGGAGAGAAATTATTCTTTCTCAGCAAGTCACTGGTCTGTTGCTAATCTGTTAGCAAAAAAAGGAAGTTGTCATTTAGCAAAAATTGTGCTGAGCGTGCACTGTGCTGATATAACTGTGTTTAGCAAAAATGACTTCAAAATCATGTCTTTCTCCTTTAATAAGTAATTTTTCTGTCTGTGTTTTCAAGTTGAAGTGGTTTCTCTCCCACAACAGGGAATGAATACTCTCTAAATGCTGTTAAAAGTGTGAATGTAGGAGGTAGGAGGAGGTCAGTTGCCAGAAGCTTGATTGCTATGTATCCCATTTTGCCTTCATGGAGGAGTTAGGACATTTTTCTTCTTTGCCTTAGGACACTGTCTCAGTGTTGCCATTTGCCCTGCAAAGAAAAAGACAATTAAAACTTGCCCATGGAGCAGCTATCACTCACTGGAATCAGGTGAAATCATCAGCTAAGGGTTGGTGCTTCTGTGTCCAAACCCCTTAAAAGCTATTACTGAACCTAAGGGAAGCTGGTACGTTCTCATCTTTCCTCATGTATTCAGTAACTCTGTGGGCTTCTGTGGTTTCATGCCTCACTTAATTACTGTTGGGCCTGATTTCTCCCTGACTCGTCTAAGTACTATTAATTTTGAAAGAGTTATTCTTGTTTTAAACTGCTGCAAGCAAGAGTAAAACCAGTCAGTTAATGCCTGAATTTCCAGAGAGCAGAGTACCTGAGCTGTACATTTTCAATATGCTTCTGCCTTACCAGAGATGTAGCTAACATTTACAGGGGTTGCGTAGCCCAGTAAGAGATTGAACCTAACGCTATAATTAAAGCTCAAAGCAATCACAGTATTTGTCCCGGTTAAGAAATACAGTGAACAGGAAGGATAGCAAATGGCTGAGGAGACAGAATTTTTGAACAATTTGTGCTGCGCATGTTTGCTACCTCTTTTAAAGTATTATTTTTTTTCAATAAGCAGTTCTCATTGAGAACAAAAGACTCACTTGTCCAAAATTGCCTTGATGATCAGCTTCACCCACGGAGCAGTGGGTTCCAAACACACTTCTCTGCCGTCTTTCAGAGTAGCTCTGCACCAGAGAGAAAAAAGGAAGGCAAACTTGGTGAATTCCATGGCAAGTCTCCTTTTCTCTTAACATCACTGCAGTTTTCTTAGTTTATGCCAGGATAGCAGGTGTACACTGACATGTTCTCTTTTACTTTAAGCTGTGTCAGCTGAAGCTGTAGCCTAATATATAGTTTCTTCAATTATTTCATATCTTCTTATGTCTATTGGAATGCATTAAATCACCTGCAGGATTCTCTGTGGTTTCAAGATTGGCAAAAATGCCCTATAACAAGTAAAGAAACATTTGTAGGAGCAATGACCCTTACAGTTCTGGATTCAGAGTGGCTGAGCCTGCTAGCTTGTGATGTCTTTCAGAGAACAATTACATCATCACTAATGTAAAAGCCGTGTCCTTTTTGTTAAGAAGCAGAGAGAATATTGCAAAAGTACTTACATGACTTCGACGTTTTGGCAGTGTGGTCCACTTGGGATGAGGTTCACATTTTGAATGAACTTGGGGTGAATGAATTTGGAATGGGTGCTTATGCACTGGCATCGAAGTTCAATCCCGGAACGTGCCAGAGCCTTACCTGTAAGACACGAATAGGAAACAACAAAAAACCATGGTGGATATGTAGAATGTCTCACTATTGGCACAGGAAACACAGCATATTCTTTTTCTTATAGGATTAGTAGTCATAAATCTCTTTTTTAGGAATCTGAGGACTTGAGAAAGTTGCCTTCACCTGTTCTTCTACGCTGCCTAATAACAGTACCTGTCTGAAAATGACTATTACAGCAGCTAGTGTTTTAGAGAAATGCAAGAACATAACTACTGAATGCCAGCAGTTGTAGAACCATATTTTTATATATGGTATTTTTATATGGCCAATATCTGCTGAATTAGATTATTTGTGGATTTACATCCTTTCACCTGAAAATAAGGTCTGACTCCCAATTCTTTTAATATTTGAGGCACAAAATTATTTGCTGCACTTTTAAGAAAGCACATTATCTCTCCCTGTCAGCATTCACACTAGCAATCAATCATGAGAATTTTAGGAAGGACTTCTTTACCTTTTGTTCCAACTGCTGAGATTAGGAGAAGAGTCAGGACAGCAACAACAACCTTGCCCTTCATGATGATGCAAGAATTTTTCTCCCTTGCAGCTCCTGATTCTGGTTGTATGGAGAGGTGAGCTCCTGTAGCCCAAAGGGTGGCTGATGGCTGTACTCTGGGACCTACCTTGTTTATATACTGACTTGGCCTCCTGCCTGTGCTCCAGCATTGCGTGTGGGTAGTACCAATGGAAACTCCTGAACGTGTAAGTTGCTATCACAAATGAGTCACACTCAAGTGGGTAAACCCCTCTCTCTAGATGACCATGAAATTGTTTTTCCTTAAGCGAGAACTAAAGAAATATAAAATATAAAATATGTACAATATTGCCCTGCGGTTAGCTTTGTGGAGTGTATAGATTTTTATAATATTCATTTTCTTGAGTATTGTGATTATGTTCTTCTGTGCCTTCATACTTTTTTCTATTAGTATTATGTTATGTTTTATAACTTTCCAGTTCTGGTGGAAGGCATGTGGTATGATCTGTGACATTCCATCTGTGTTTCTTTGGAGGTTTTTTCTTTTTCTTTTTTTTTTTTTTTTTGGAAGAACTGGTAGAACTATGAACTAATATCATTTTGTGGAAATGATGAATACTAGAGCAGCTAGATGTCTAGGAATGTGTAAGAAAAATTCAAATGTATATGATATTTATCTCTAGTATTCTCCCACTCTGAGCCTAGTTTCCTATGTTACCTCCTAGTTCTTTTCTGGGGAAAGAGAATGAACAATCAGCCCTTATCCCTCATGTCCATCCCCATAGACCTCTGTCACATCTCCCCCAGATATTATCAGTTTTTACAAAATGTTGTCCTGTTGCTTGATAGGAGCATAGTTTGGATTGTTCGTTCTTATCTCTAGACATTTTTTTCCCAGCAAACTATTACCATGAACTGCAAACATTTTACAGAAATGTAAATGAGTTTATCCATGGAAATGCATGCATATAGGAAGAAGATGGAAGTATGAATTTCCATTGCCCCTCGAGTGTAGAACTCTCTTTTCCAAATAAACACAAGAAACTGTTCTTTCCCTTTAATTTCAGAGGTATCGTGATTGCTTGTGTGCTATATATGCGATGAAGGTGATACTGTGTTCTTTGTGTAAAACTGGCTGCCTGTTGTCTATTATTTCTGCATTCTTGATCCAGACAGATAAGTTTGTGGCTATTGTACCTTGTTACTGCTCAAATACAAAGAGAGGGCTTATATATCTTACTTCTGTCGTGTGTGATATAATGATTACGATATAACAAAACTTGATACAGTAATCTATGGAGCAATGAGAACAATTGAGTAGAGAGATTGCTAGAGCCAGTGTTTTGACATGTAATTTAAAAAACAAAGAAAAGTAAGAGGTGGTTGAATACTTCGGTGGAACGCTCAACTTTCAGAAAACCCACAATCAAAAAATGCAAAATTTCTTTCATGGTTACAGAGGGAAGTCAGAAAAGATGAATCATGTTGTTTGGAATCATTTACAAGGACCCAGTTTTGGAAAAGTGAGGCAGGTAATAGCAAGAATTAAGCTGCTGAATTGTTAATATATACAATCTCTTAATCTCTTAATCTCTTAAGAGATTATCGCAATCTCTTAAATTCTGGGCTCCCCAGTACAAGAGAGACATGGCACTCCTGGAGAGAGTCCAGCGGAGGGCTACAAAGAGGATGAGGGGACTGGAGCATCTCTCCTATGAAGAAAGACTGCGAGAGCTGGGCCTATTCAGCCTGGAGAAGAGAAGATTGAGATGCGATCTCATAAACATGTAGAAGTATCTGAAGGGGGAGTGTCAAGAGGATGAGGCCAGCCTCTTCTCCGTGGTGCCCAGCAACAGGACAAGAGGCAACGGGCAGAAACTCTACCCACAGGAAGTTCCACCTGAACCTGAGAAAAACTTCTTCACTGTGAGGGTGACAGAGCGTTGGAACAGATTGCCCAGAGGGGTAGTGGAGTCTCCTTCCCTGGAGATTTTCAAAACCCGTCTGGACGTGATCCTGGGCAATATGCTCTAGAGGAGCCTGCTTGAGCAGGGAGGCTGGACTAGATGATCTCCAGAGGTCCCTTCCAACCTAAACGATTCTGTGATTCTGTGATTCTGTGATTAATGAAAGGAATAACTCTTAAGCCTTAAATATAAATATCATAAACGACATCTGGCAGCCCCCAGTTAAAGAAACATTTTCTTTGTCGTAAGTGTCATAAATATGGTTATTGAAAAGCTTCAACTCTCTTGGTGTAAGAGCATGTTAACACCTACTGACTTTTATCACTTATTGGTGATAAGATTTCTGAGAAAAGATGGACTTATCAGTAATGGATGACACACAGGAATCGAGACCAGAGACTAATCTAATATCCTCCATCCATTTTTAGACATTAATGTGCAGTACAGAAGTCTCTGTCCGAGTCACTTGGTAAACTGGCACATGATAGATTAGTTTGAATCAACCAGAAATTGCTACTGCAAGCGTAAAACTAGCTAATTTACTAATCAAGACTTCTTCGTTAGTTTTGCGATGGCATACCAGAGGGCAACAGAGGGTTTGAGATTCCTGAGTGAAAAAGATGGAGCTTCTCAGATCCTTTTCTGTATGCTGCTCCCTGACTTTCCCTGACTTGTGAGAAACCTGGAGCTTTACATCTGTGTATACTCTCATGACCGCTGGGGATCCTCTTTCACGGCTTTGTCCTCCTCTCCCTCAGAGATTGCTCACTGGTGTCTTTAGAAATCCTGCCTCTGTGCCTAGGATTTTTTTGGATCCAAACATGTAAAGATCATTTAGAAATAGCTGCATAGCTGAGTCAGTGCCAATGACAATTTTTTTTTTTTAATGAGGCTCAGCAAGAAAGGGTAGTTCTGCTTGAGCTTTAGGTCTTCTTTGGACAAACTCCTCCTCTTATTTTCTTACACTGTATACCCTGTATGCAAAATCTATGCATACTTGTGACCTGCAAAGGGGAAAATGTCTCAACATCTTTGCTTCTTTGTCTGGCCGTCTGAATCTTTAGTTTCATTTGTATTTTCTCTTGGCTGTGAGAGTCTCTGCTGTGAACTGTACCTAAGACAGCTTGGTGGATTGAGATGGCCAATATGCCCTTAATTATTTCTTAATCTGATAGCAACAGAAAAGTCGAGATTTCAAGGTTGCATGCTATGACATTGAAAGATTTGTGTATGAAAGATATGGAATAAACTGCTATAAACTGACATGCGACTGTTAGATGTATGTTTAGTACCTGATCATCCTGATGAACTTCAGTAGTGTTTGGATCAGCCCTCTACACGTGCGCCCAACTAATTTGTTTTCTTTTGTTATCTACTATTTAGTTAATATGGGATTCTGAAAGCCTAACTCCTTCTGATGAGCTCTTCTTAGGAAAAGCTCACTGAAATTCTTGTGGTTGTCTGTGCCTCTCTTCCTGAAGCTGTTTATGCTTGATATTCAAAACCATTAACAAGAATGGAAATTGCATTCACTTGTCTCTAAAAATGCTGGCGATAGAATGAAGTGTATTTCCTAGGGTCATCCTCTATTTGGGCAGGTGTTACAAAGGTCAGTGTGGAAGTGACTTAACAAATTGGTCACGAAGTTGCGCAAAGTGTTCTGAGAACAAGGAACAGAGGCAGAGCTCTGCTGTTCTACAATACTACTTCCGCACGCTGCAGGAGGTACTGATCCCTACTCCTGTATTTTCTGTATGGCCTCATGATTCTTGCTGGAGAGAAACAGACTTTCAACACCTAGGCTGGTAAATAGTTTTTTCCACCTACGCTGATGATGAAATCTCTGCTTTGGAGGCAGGAGAAGTGCCTCTGAGTTCTCTCAAGGGAGGACCTGGAATGTGGATCTTCTCCCTGCACAAGCAAATGTTCCCACAATAGACAATTATATAATACATCTGAAACCAACACTATCACTTCTTGCTGTGCAATTTTATTAGTCAGCTTAAGTTTCCCTTGCTCATGTTGCTAGTTGTTCTAGATCTCAGTCCAATGCGTTTAATAGTCCCCATTCCCCGTATAGGAAAATTTTCCCACCCTTTTAGCTGGGCACCTGAAATTTATTGATGACAAGGTCGAGCATGGCTTCAGCAGTCCCTGAGCCTCAATCAGAACATTTATTGCTGACCCAGAACTTAATTCACAGTTTTCAGCAGTCCAAAGGAGTCCAAAGTACACTCCTTACTGTGCTCTGTGGCCTATTCACGATACAATCAATCGTCATTTACAGATTGGTTTGATGGAAAATATCTGCTTTTGTATGTTCCTGGGCTTTCCCTGTGTATGTAGTAACTGCACAGGAAATGAGGTCATCTCCATAAAGGGAAGTAGTATTAAGAAAAAAAAGTGGACAGGATGCTGCCTGCAGCGTGATCAGGATGTTCATGCTAATCAACATGCAGCTACTTCTTCAGAGAAAAAGTGACCACTATGGTTTAATTGCATTAGTTGCATTATTAAGAAAAAAAATTACAGTAGGATTACTCAGGGACTTTCCAGTATTTCAGGCAGTATCATCATCATACGTTGTCTTGCAAGACATTTGTATTAAATAATGCTTTTTATTAATCATCTTAAGTAACAGAAAACCAATTACAATATATGGACCAAAGAGCTTCTCAGACAAATATTTTATTTAGCTAAACAATCCCAGCTCTCTCAGCCTTTCCTCATAAGTGAGATGCTCCAGTCCCTTAATCATCCTTGTAGGCCTTCACTGGACTCGCTCCAGTAGGTTCATATCTGTCTTGAACTGTGAGACTCAGGACTGAGCAGAAACAGTCGTTGAGGCTAAGGACAGAGACCAGAGAACATTTAGGAGTAGACCTTGCTCCTGTCCTCACAGTCAGTCACTTATTTCCTCTCCTCTCCTTTGACAGTTTATGCCCCCTTAGTTGTGCCCAAACCAGAAATCTGTTTGCTTGGTGACCCTCATCTACTTGAGGGAGGAGGCAGAAATAATGATAGTTTTTCTCAAGCTACTATATTTTCAAATCTACTGCTAGTTACGCTTGCAAAGCAAAGCAGAATTAAGAACCTTGTGATACATTATTATTGCAATTCTAATCATCTGCCTACTACTATAAAAAGGAATGTATTAAAATCAGTGGAGTCACACTTCTACATTGGATCTAATTATGAACAAATTGAGGTCCTAAACTTGGATGTAGTAAGAAGATGCAAAGCATAAGAGCTAGTAGGAG